TGGGTCCCAGGACCCCTGGGGTTGTTCCCTGCGAGGGCCAGGAGGGTCGCGGGGGGCTTGAGGCTGAGCCATGAGTGGCAAGGCCTGTGGCAGGGAGAGCCATGCAGTGAGTTGCTGCTCTGAGGCTGGCTTCCTGCCACAAGGCTTGTCCATGGTTCCTGCAGCTTTAAGAGAGGCCAGGAGATAGGAACTATAGAGTTGTGATTACTTTCTATGGAGTTGCCACCAGGGCACCTGTGTTATTTTTTGGAGGCTTCTTCTTTAAAAAAAAATAAACCCTCCTCCCCATCCACACATGCCTTTTTCTGCAAGACTTCTTTCAGAAAATGGTTTCTTCCTCATAGAGGATTATCAATGCTGGAAAATCCCCTCTGTCCTTTCAATTTACTTTTGAAAGAATGCAATTGTAATGTGGATGTTCCGCAAGTTTTGTCAGAAAAATGGTTGTTTGTCTGACAAAACTCTGTAGTGTAGACAAACCCTCAGGAACCGCAGTGTTCTCTTCATGGATGGTCATCTGACATGTCACCATCAATATTCCTACCTCCCAGGGAGGTTTATTTAACTCATCAATAATCCAACCACTTTCCCTGTAGAAAATATAGTCAATTGTCCTGCCATTTCCTCAATGCTGAGAAAGAGGTGGGGACCCAGTCCCACCTTCTACTCTAGATCTAGCCCAGTGTCTGGAGCTACTTCTTGCTCCCTGGGTTCCTGCCTATACTATTCTGTTCAAGGTGCGACTGGGTTGCTTTCTCAAGTTTCAAACAACTACTGACTCTGCTTTGCTCTACTCTGCCCTGATGCTCTTTTTAAATGGGTCTGTTAAGCAGTGATTGGCTGCTCCTCAAGCCCCTTCCCTGTTGGCTGCTTCTTGTGCATCCTCCGTAGAGCTCTATTAACCCTTTACTGGCTGTGGGATGACATTCCATCACACCAAGGACACCCTTAACTCCCAAGATAGCTGTAGCCCTGAGCCACATTTGCAGCGGCTCTATTAAGGACCTTATGTCTATATAGTGGCCCACTGCAATCTAAGGACTGTCAGCCATTCCTGGATGACAGCAGCCAGTATCCATGATTTTTGCAGTAACAGTTGCAAATAGTTGCACTCACATTTTCAATAAATTTTTACCACAACTTTTCTCAAGCTTTTCAGCCCATTAAAGAATTACCAAGTCTTAAAAGTTAGTTGTAGACCCAGGGTATGTCTATACTGCCACAAAGAAGAAAGAAAGAAAGAAAGAAAGAAAGAAAGAAAGAAAGAAAGAAAGAAAGAAAGAAAGAAAGAAAGAAAGAAAGAAAGCCTGCAGCAGGATTCCCTTGGATCTTTTCATCCTCCACAACAGCACAGAGTCTTTCTATTTGGGTGTGGGACTGTACTAATGTATCCTGGTAAGTCTCATTTTTATCTCTTTGTCTCCTCAGTTCCTCCAATTCTGCCACCCTGGTCTCCAAAGCCTGCACATAGTTTCTGAGGGCCAGGAGCTTCTTGCACTGAATCCACACATGAAAATCATACATGTTGCATGGGATACATGCATACATACCCTGCATGGACAGCATACTTGAAATCTTGCTGTACAGTCTGACACTTTGTTCATGTTCCCAAAATCAGGGGCCCTGTTAGCATCACACCAGAGATCCACTGCTACCTTGGTGCCATCCTCCAGCTAGCTGGCAGTGTGCAGAGGCAATGCCTTCTTTGCCGTCATCTTAAAAAAACGGATCTTTCCATTAGTATGGATCAGTGCAGCTGCTAATATTGGAAGCCACATAGAAATGAAAGGAAGTGAGGGAGGACTGCTGAACAGGCTGATACACAATGACAGCTGAGTTGTCCTAAGGAAGGGTATGTCTACACTACAGCGCTAATTCGAACTAACTTAGTTCGAATTAGTTAATTCGAACTAAGCTAATTCGAACTAACGCATCTAGAACTAAAAACTAGTTCGAATTAGCATTTTGCTAATTTGAACTAGCATGTCCACATTAAGTGGACCCTGAACTGGGGTTAAGGATGGCCGGAAGCAGTGCCGGCAGGGCATCAGAGGAGGACTTAGAACGTGGAGATGCTGTCTCAGGCTAGCCGAGGGCTGTGCTTAAAGGGACCCGACCCCCACCCCAGACAGACAGTTCTCAGGGGTGCCCCGCTTGCAAAGCAGTCCTGGCTTGGA